CTAAACCCTAAACCCTAAACCCTAAACCCTCGCGGACAGGCGTTTCCGGGGGAATTTTGAAGCGAATGAACTCGAGCTGCTGGCGCTCTTGGGGCGAAAAAGCTTCGTAAATTTCGTTTTGGTTTTTTGTCCAACTTCTGAAAAGCGGCTGCGGAGTGTCTGCTGCTGGGCGGCCCCAAGGAGCAGCAGATCTGCAAATTCTGTTCAACACTTTTTCCGAATTCAAAGTTGCTGCTGACCAAAAACCCGCCGTCAGTTCGTACACTGCAAACCCCACAACACCCCACAACGACTGCTGTCTGTACACCCCAAAAAACCCACTTTCAGCTCCCTGTACACCCCAAAAAACCCTCTTTCAGCTGTCTGTACACCCCAAATACACCCCACACTTTCAGCTGTCTGTACACCCCAAATACACCCCACACTTTCAGCTGTCTGTACACCCCAAATACACCCCACACTTTCAGCTGTCTGTACACCCCAAAAAACCCCACTTTCCGGTGTCTGTACACCCCAAATACACCCCACACTTTCAGCTGTCCGTACACCCCACATACGCCCCACACGACGCCAGCTGTCTGTACACCCCAAAAACCCCACACTTTCAGCTGTCCGTACACCTCAAAAACCCGCACTTTTAGCTGTCTGTACACCTCAAAAACCCGCACTTTCAGCTGTCTGTACACCTCAAAAACCCCCCACTTTCAGCTGTCTGTACACCCCAAATACACCCCACACTGCTCCGGTGTCTGTACACTCCAAATACACCCCACAGTTTCCGGTGTCTGTACACCCCGAAAGCATCCCACTGCTGGCCTCCAGCTCTCCAAACCCTAAACCCTAAACCCTAAACCCTAAACCCTAAACCCTAAACCCCACCGTCGTGGTCGTCTTCCGCGTACTCCGCACTTCGCAAACCCTCGGGAAAGGGTTTCTTTTTCTTCCTGACCATTTCGTGGCACTTTCCCTGTTTTGTCTAATCACAAAAGCCCCAAAGTTAATTTTTTACTTTAATTAATTAACCAATTATCTAATTAATTAATTGTTTTGCATGCATGCATGCAGGCTGCGGGGCGCTGGGGTGTACGTACACCCGGGCGCTGGGGTGTACGTACACCCGGGCGCTGGGGTGTACGTACACCCCAAAGGCATGCATGCGACTGCTGCGTTTGGCTGCATTGAAGTGGAAATTTAATTTTTATAATTAAATAATTTTATTTTATTTTTTTAATTCATAAAACCCACCAAAATGCGAATCTCCTCCAGCTTCTCACAACCCACAGGCCACACGGCCAAGTTGGCTATGCACCCTGCACCCGCAAACCCTAAACCCTAAACCCTAAACCCTAAACCCTAAACCCTAAACCCTAAACCCTAAACCCTGGCTGCCGGAGCCGCGGGCGCTGCGGGTCCTGCTAACTGCGGCTCTCCCTTCGCACGCTTCGGGAGCCCTGGCGCGCCCCCCCAACCCCAAACCCCAAACCCCAAACCCCAAACCCTAAACCCTAAACCCTAAACCCTAAACCCTAACTCGCCTGGGGCCTGGTAAGTGGCCGGCGCAGCCAGCAGCAGCAACTCCGGCTGCATCTTTTCCGCAAGTTTAAAAGCAATTCGAATGTTGCGGCTGATGAGTCCGTCGGAGGTAGCGGGGGCAGCAGTGAGCGAGACGGGCAGCGAGCCTGCGGCAAAACCCTAAATTAGGGTTTAGGGTTTAGGGTTTGGGGCTTGGGGCTTGGGGTTCAAACGTGCAAACGCGACAGAAAACAGAGATTTAAATAAAGCCGGACTTCACCGCACAGCGCTGGTGGCTGCGCCCCTAAAACCTCGGCCCTAAACCCTAAACCCTAAACCCTAAACCCTAAACCCTCCGGCTGCAAACCCTCGCTGACCCACCGTATTCTTCCCTTCTTGGATGTTTATCATCATGAGTTTCCACCAAGTACATGGCGCACCTCACAGCTCCATAATCATAGTTCTTCTTTGCCTCAGCAGCAGCAGCAGCAGCAGCAGCAGCAGCAGCAGCAGCAGCACCAAGCCGCCTCTCGCTTCCTTGCGGCCGCAGCCACGGGGTAAACCACGACCACCAGGGGGCCCCTCTATTCTTCGCCACGGGGCCTGGGGGCCCCCCTGGGGGCCCCCCTAGGGGCCCCCCTGGGGGCCCCCCTAGGGGCCCCCCTGGGGGCCCCCCTGGGGGCCCCCCCGGGGGCCCCGCACCTAGGGGGCCCCCCAGAAGGCCCGCCAGGGGGCCCCCCAGGAGGCCCCCCAGGGGGCGCGCGAGGGGGGCCCCCAGAGGGGCCCCCAGGGGGGCCCCCAGGGGGGCCCCCAGGGGGGCCCCCGGGGGGCCCCTGGGGGGCCCCCTGCAGTAGCTAATAGGGTTTGGAGAGTTCTGGAAGCCCGCGGAATAAGCCCAATCTTCTAAACCCCCATTTACAGGATAAACCAAATCTGAGATGGGGCCCTCGGGGTAATAAGGGTACTGGAGGGGGGGGGGGGGCCCCCC